GGAATGCTGCCTTGTTCCCTAAGCAAACGCTGCCCTATGGTTTTTGCGCGTCCTTACCTCATTGACTGCAATTTTGTCCTTTTCTCGTGCGGTGTAGAAGACGTTTCTTGGGACCATTTTAGATTTTGTGGTTTTCAACAAGGTGCAAATACCAGTGCTGAGGTTGTACAGTACCTACAGTTAGGGGAGGCTCTTCTGACTGTAGCATAGAGAAAAAAATGCTTTTTTCTTTGGACCACTGCAGTGCAGCTCAAATGAAAGCCTGTTTCTTCCTTTGTGTTGCACGTGTGCATTTACTTATCAATCTAAGCATATAATTCCTAGAAAGGTCTGAGCAATTCCTTAATTCATAAAAAAGCAAAGTAATTATTCTAAATTGAATAAAAATGTTAGCATTAAAAACAGTCATATTGAATGTGAGTTCTTTAAACCTCATTTCATTTAGGATAAATACAGTCATAGTGAGCTGCACTGTCTGCCCGGTGTTGTACCTGTTCCCCAGATAACTGAAGGAACTTAACAAAAGTTGTATGAAAGGCAGTATTTTCTTAGTTGGCAAACTTAAATTTCTGTAATTATGTATTAGTACCATGCCTTTAACCTTCCTGCTAAATATTAATGTTTTATATGTTTTACTTGTTGCCACTTTTCATTCTTTGCTGTGCAATCTATGATTTTTTTTTTTCATGATGACTTGTTTTAACTTTGGATGTTCATGTGGCTTTACAAACTGTCTTGCAGATCTTTAAATTTGGAAGATAAAACAGCAGTCACATATGGAGCCTAGCTGCCACAGCAGATAGCAAAACTAAGAAAATTTAATCTAGATTTAGATTTCTAGCAAAATTGGACCTTGTTGTAAATATTTGGAAGCTTAAGCTGTTGCTCAAAATATTTTATGTGTATTTATTGCTTTATTTACTTTTGTAGGGGAAGCATGTGTTTAGTATAAACCAACAAATACAAAATAAATGAAAAATGTTACAACAGTTGACTGTGTGATCTGGGTTTGAGAATTTGTCTCCGGGAGAGAATTTCACCACTATTCGAGATCTTAGTTTTACAGCTTGATGTTAATTGTACAGTGATGCATGTATTAGACCATTTTGTTTTCATTTCCGATTGAGTAGTTTGTCGTGTTCTAATAAGGAACTGAATTGTACAAACATATGATTTGATAAAGTCTTTCTTGTTCTCATTAAAAAATATAGTGGAATTACTGGAATTTTACTGTACTTGAAAAAAAATAAGTTGAAGTTTTTAATTAGTGCTTTTTAAATTGCCCTGTGAAGTGTTTGCTTTCAAAATAAGTTTTGTACCAAAGCAGGCACTATTTTTATTAGAAGATTACTTTTGTCAGCATTGGCCTATCAAATGAAATATGGGCTGTGTTTTTTCGTTTTTAAGCCTTTCTGCAGTACTATTGAAGAAAATTCATATGGTCTTGCAGAAATAGCAAGAGCATAGTTTGACATAGTTTCATTATTTTTCCCAATCATAATGTTCTTTCCCTGCAATGGCTTTATTCATAGACTCTTATATTGGACTCAGCATGTTAAATCTTCCAAATACGGCATTACTACTTGATTTGATAAATGAAGGACCAGATTCTTCCCTGTTTGCTGATGCTTATTCAGAGCAGAGCTGTAGCTGTCAGTGAACTGACACCAGTTTAAAGCACAGTGTGGAGCCTAGTGTTAAGGTTGTTACTGATCTTAAGAAGACTAAGGTCAGATCAGACCATGGTTTTTTAATGTTCCTTTTGCAGGTACCAGAACTATGTTTTGAAACTAAAAAAAATAACTTTTATTTATTGTGCTTTCCTGTTTTGTTAATTGGTGGGTTCTTGCTGTATGTATGGGCCCTAATCTATTAATACTGAAATGGTCTGATAAACATTTTTGGGTTTTGTGTTTAATAGGTATTCATTTTATTTTTATAGGTATGTTTATCATAGCTCCAAGTGGATGGTGGCCGGTAACGCTGACTCCCCGGTACCACCTCGTGTTTACATTCACCCCGATTCACCCGCCTCTGGGGAGACATGGATGAGACAAGTGATCAGCTTCGACAAACTGAAGCTTACCAATAATGAGCTGGATGATCAAGGACATGTGAGTACTTGCTCTTCTGCGGTATTGTATGTAGGCACATTGCTCAGCTCTGAAAGACTCTGACGTACAGCTTCAGGGTGCCAGAAATAGGCTTGACTTTTCAAAGCTGTTTTGGAACCTTACCGTCTAGATCTAAAATCTGCTTACTTTCTGCTCCGATAATTAACTGCTTATTAGAGCCTGCTGTTTTACTCCCCCCTCAAAAACAGAACTCCTTCTGCAAAGTAAGCCTTTACAAGGCTAAATTGCCTAATATGAAGGGGCAGAATTGCTCTCATGTTTTCCCACCGAGTGTGTTACTTGCAACTTCTGCTCCGATCAAAAAGGGCGCTTAAATTCACAAGTGGCTAGAAGAAACATTAATAGCGTGTAATAACTTCATGTGAATAAAAATACACTTAACTATTTTCTTAACCTAAACATTTGTGTGAAATCCCATGAGGTGTTAATAATTGCAGTCAAAAACGAACAACATGAGAGCTGGGTTCACTCTGATAATGATTTATTACATACCTTATGAAGCAAGACCCTTTCACAGCTGAGGCTCATTACTTCTGCAAAAACTGGCGAAGACGTATGCAGTATGAGTGTTCTGTTTGCAAGTTCTAAATTGTTTAGTTATGACATTATCTAATGTGACAAAATGTGTTATGTTAATATTTCCTTTTCTCTTCAAAACTGTTGAAATATGACAGATGTAAGCCAGTATCTTTCCAGCAATCCCTAAAATAGTTTTACTTGACACCTTAGGAAATAATTAAAAAATGGGAATGGTTTTTAGTCAGGGTAAAGTCTTTAATTTTGCAAAATCCTGTAATAAATGGCAAATGTTGGCTTCCTTTCAGAAGGAGCACTGAGTTCCAAGTGGTAGAGTTTTAAGAAGTTGGAGGCAAGTTTTGAGACAGGATGTGGATTCCATTGTCCTTCGCGTAGCCCAATATATTAAGCAGGATACTTTCCCCTTCACAGAAGGGAGTGAAAGAAAATGTGCCTAGCACAGAGGACAAAGATACTACGTGCATCCTCTCTCAGTATAGTTGTAATACTGTGATGTTAGGCCAGGTATTTTGTCAATTACACAGTCCACGTTTAAATATGAGCTTCTTTTCTCCCTGTTTGTGTTTGTGAAGGAGATTAATGTGAAATTCTTGTTAAATGGTGCAGGAGCTACAACTTTTATGTTACAGAGGTAGGAAGGAATACAGGAGGCTGACTGGACTGAGCTAGTGAATGTGATAACAAGGATAAAAAGACTACCTTTCGTATAATATTGTTCATAATTTTATTGTGCTCTTCCTGAAAAAGAATGTGGGGGTATTCATGTCTCTTTGAGTTAGCAGTGCATTTGTTTCTTTAGGCTTGTAAGAGAGACGTTTTACATCACTTCTTTCACTAACAGAATTAGTTATGGGGTCTCATTTGGCAGTGTGTGTGGTGAGATTAGCACACGTAGTTCCCTTAGTTTCCCCAGCAATCCTGTATTTGCAACTCTTCTTGAGTGAGAGTTGCTTTTTCAGAGTCCTGAGTCTATTGTAAGGGCTTTAAAAAGTGAAATGGATGCGAATGGGTAGAACGTCAACTTTTCCAAGGGAGAGCAAGCCGGCTGGGTTTTCTACCCAGTCGTTTCAGAGGGATGATACGCGGGTGCCGTGGTCCACCCGTGCACTTGCAGTTGCAAACTGCCCTGTGATAAAATCTCGGCTATGTAGAGAATTGTATTGCAGTATTTTTCCATCCCAGATCTTAGCTTTGGTTTTATTCTGAACTGAAACCTGTGTAGCGTACACAGCACGCCATTATTCATAATGTGGGGGGATATAAATTTTCTGGTCTTTAAGTGTTTCGATTTGGAAACTAGTGAAGCAAAGCCGTAGTACAGTGATTTGAGACACATTGAACTGATTCAGAGCTACGGCAGCGCCCCTCCTCCCCAAAATGGAAATTTAAGTATTAAAATAAAAGGACAAAAGAAGGATGACTGTAAAATAATTTCATATTTCTAAAATCTGGGAAATTGCAAACATGTCATTCATAATTACCAGAAAAGGCAAAAGCAGAAAGCAGAAAAGTGTCTTTTCCAATGGGTACATTTTTTCTTTTAAAGCTATGGTAGTGTGGAATGCTGTATTGAAAAAGCTATGTAGCCTCTGAATGCCTCCAGCAATAATGGAAAACGAATAATCATATTTTGTGATGAATATGAAAAACAATTGTTTCTCATAAGCAGGAAGGAACCATTTTTCTCAAGAGAGTACCGGGGAGAGATGGGGACTTAGAAGAGCTAGGGGTCAAGACTGTACTGTCCCTCGAATATTTGTTTTTACATCAAGTGTTCTGACTCTACCACCCCTGTATGGGAGATGAGGTATACTTTAGATTATTAGAAAGTTGTTTGGTGGGTTTTTTTCCCCCTCCCACTTAGACAGAATGGCTCAGAGAAACCTTGGTGGGGTCTTTACGCTCTGCCATCATTCCTCCAGTAGTTCAGGCAGTGTTGGGCTTTAGCTGTTGTTCTTTGGTTGTGCTTTCTGTGCTGCCTGGTTCTGGGGCTTTAATCTTTGTCAAAATTGTTCCTTTATTCTTTCTCTACTCAGAGGTATCAGCTTTTGCAGAGTGTTTGTGTTAAGATCCCAGGGCTAGGATTTGATCTTGTAGGCATTGAAGTAGGGAACTCATGTGAGATCAACCCAGAGCCCTTTTACCTATTCCAGAGTGTTAACTGTCAGAATGAGTGAGAGGTGACCCACGTCCATGGGAATGAGGACAGTATTTGCAGAGAGATGCTAAGGTAGTATTCCTGTGCAGTATTTATATTGTGGTAGTAGTTCATGGCAGCCAGCTCCCCTTGCATTGCGTTGGCCTGGGATTAGGTTCTCATGAAAGGAGATCAGCCATCTCTAAGACAACTTGCTTCGCTGCGCGAATGTTTTCTGGGCTCCTTGCCGCCTGCTGCTGTTTGCATCAGTATTTTGAGTGGGAGTTTGTGACGACGTGATTTTGTAGTGCTGTTCTGCAGAGAGATTTTGAAGTACATCTGCACGTAGGATACTCTCTGATACATGGGTTCCACTTGCAGGCTGAGGAGATCAAGCAAAATTTGTAAGGCTGTTTTCCTTGCTTGTTTTTGGTCTCAGAAGGAAGTCCCTGCTTTGGAGAGGTTGCGTACTTATACGGGCATTAAGGCCCAATGGCATCATTAAGACACATACTGCAGCATTTGTGTCTTTCATCTGAGTCGTGATGGTAAGAAAAAGTAAACCTGCATTTTGCAGTTGACACTGAGAAGTGCATGGTGTGGATGCTCTTTCTTAATTCTTCTCATCCCTCTCTCATCTCTGGGGTAGGTGCTGCATTGTAAAAGCAGTCTCTCCCGCTGGCTGGTTAGAGCTGGCTGATTTTTCTATTTCGATGCAGTTTTTAGTCTGAATTTCAGTAGAGGGGGAAAAGTCAATATTTTTGATGCTGTTTTCCATGCTTTTCAACTGAGTATTTTTTGATGCGATGAACATCTTTTAACTTTTAGTGAAAATGAGGCTGTTAGCGTGTTAATTGTTCCTTGGTGGCTGTTTTTTTTTTCCCCATTTGAAAGTGGGGTGAGGCTGGAAGCAGAAGCGGACTGTTACTGTGCCCAGACTTGGCTCCAAGTAGCAAGCTCTGCTTACAGTCAATGGGTAGTTATATGTTCTTGTCACAATGAAAAGCTGGGAAACATCAGCATTTGCACTTGCAGTTTTTGTCTTTGTGAAGAGGGAATCCATGCTCCTTGGCCCCACACGCTCTCCTGACTGCAGAAAGCCTGAATACATGGGATTTGCAGGGAGGAAAAAGGAGGATTTTTGGTGAAAACACCATCAAGGTGAGGACCATGCCAGTGGTCTGGCAGTGCACTGGTGAGCTGCCAGAGGCATCCCCCCCTGTGGTTTCTTCCCTCCAAAAGAGTATCAGGCTCTTGCTTGTGCTGGCTGTGATGGTTGTGTCATGGCGGTGCCCGAGTTTAGGGTCAGCTCTGAGGCCTCATCACAGCAGCATCTCTCAAGAGCAGTATTGCAAAGGTAATCCCAGTTTTGGGTGTCTGCAGATGCTTTGGCTGCATTTGCTCTGCCAGCCTGTTGCCTTGCCCTGCTGCCTACCTGCAGGCTCCCTGCTGCGGCGTCTTCTGTCTGATAATGATGTCTTGACAGTTGCTGTGGTCAAAGTGTAATTTTACATTTGGCGGGAGAGGTTTATTCCCCCACGAAGTGTTTTGGTCGGGCCCTGTGAGGGATTTGTAGAGAGCAGCAGGCTTTTCAACTGTGAGTTGAAAGCAATGCCAGTTCGTGCTTGGCATTTGCTGGGATTTGTTCTGTTTGGGGTTTTTATTGTTGGCTTTTAAGGGTATGAAGGGAAAGTTGCTGGTTCTGCAGATAAACTGTTAGATCTCATTTGTGCTGTTGAATGTGCAAGCAATGTGAAAAGAAAAGCAGGAATCTCCTTTTCCTTAGCTTTTTCAACACAGTAACTTTAGGTGATGCTTAGGATAATAGAGCTAAATGGTTTTCAGAGCGGGCATTGCATCTCCCTCTCCCTTTATGTCCTATCTACATAGTGTTGTTTTTTAATTAATCAGGGCTCTGCAGTCATGTATTACTTATTCGTAATTCAGTCCTGATCATTAACAAAGATCCTATTTTACAAGGCATGGTACAAAAGCAAGGAAAAAAAAAATCCTGCTATGTATTTGCTAATCAGCAGTGGAAATTCAATATAGCACAGAGCCAAGCCAGGTTGCTCTTAAGAGATAACAAGGATTGGTCTAGCTGTAATAGCCACCCAGAAAAGGAGTGGGAGGTGGTCATCTCCATGCTGCCGTGATTTCACTTGTCCTGATACATGAGCAGAACTGTTCGTAGCTGCCTGGGTTATCATTGCATATGGTCAAGTCCACCGTGTAGGCAAGTGGAAGCTTGCACCGCAGAGCTGATGGGGTGAAGTAATCTGTGTGGGAGCAGAATGTGGCATGCTTAGTGGCACCCAGGCAAATGGCAAGGCACAGAATAGCGATGGGTTTGAACGGTGGAACAGAGCTTTGCTTGATCATTTTTTTTCTGTTGCACCAGTATCACCCCTGGTATCACTGGGTGTTCACAGGAAAACAGGGTCAGGAATGTGCTGTCCCCTCTACGTTTTCATTTTGTAGATCTTTGCCAGCGGAGAACTGAAAGGAGTGTTGTAAAAGAGAATACACATTTGCATGATAAAAATCTTGCTCTGTGCAAGATTTCAGAAACTGGGAAAAGGCTTCATATGAGAACATCCATAGGGCACTCCCTGAGCAAATTAACTGGAGCCTGTGATGTCATTGTCAAAACCGTAGTTACAGGCTAATAAAACCCCTGATTATCCAGAAACTTGGCTTATCCTAAATGGGGTCATGCCATCTGGCCAGGACCAAGTGTATTAAAATAGCCAAACTCTAGTTTATCCAAATGAATGTAATGTCCTCTATGTCATTTGGATGAATGAACTTCCATGGTGCCTGGCGGAGGGCTCTGTCGAGAGCCTCAGCACATGCACATTCTGTTGGAGCAGGAAATTAAAAAGTTTCCCCTGAATGTTGATTAGGGGCTCCACAGGCCAATAGCCATAGGACTATTTATTTATCGAGTTAACTAATTTCTTAGGCCTTCCAACAATAATAGTTGAGCTTCCAATTATCTTTTTTCTTGAAATCTCCTATTTTAGTAGTGGTTAGCTGAAGTGGAGTAAAATAGAGGGAAAATTCTGGTTTTTTTTAAATCTCCTCTAAAATTTGGGAGCAATACCAAGCGGTATTTTTTGTGTTTAATTTTATGCACTATGAGTTCATATACTTTTTGTTTATACTTGATTCTTAATTGAGCTTTTGTATGCTGATAAGGCTTTACGTATTGATGTTATTCATATGTATTATAAATTTAGAGTTATTAACATTTTAGAGTTTTGGATTTTGGTGTTATTTTACTTTTAAGTTGCTGCTCCTTCAAAGTCTCAGCTTGTGTTCAAAACAAGATATGTTTCCAGCCTTTGGAATATCAGGAAACAAATTGCTCCAAGCATATCCCGAAGGTTCCAAAAATAAAAGGCAAATGCTGCTGCTCTTAATCCTGTTAGGATCAAATCCAGGCTCCAATGGAAAAAAGTGACAAAACTTTCCAAATTCCAATGGGACCAGGACTTCACTACTGATTTTTTTTTTTTTTTTTCCTTTAGCCAGTCTCAATTGAGCCAATCTCTGAATTTGGAGCTCCTGAGTTGTAATTTTTAAATGCTTAGGGTTGGCAATAACATAAATGCACAGGGATTAGACTACTGTAATAAGAACCTTCAGAGGTTAAAGAAAACATTTGATTTCCAGTAAGTGGCATGGTAAACACATACCATAATCTGTTCCAAAAAGCTATTAGTCCTGAAACAGCAGGTTGTCCTTTCTAATAAATGTTATCTTTTTTCTTTCATGACTGCATAGATTATCCTTCACTCTATGCATAAATACCAGCCTCGTGTCCACGTCATCCGAAAAGACTGTGGAGATGATCTGTCCCCTGTCAAGCCTATCCCTTCAGGAGAAGGGGTAAAAGCCTTCTCCTTTCCAGAGACAGTTTTCACTACTGTCACAGCATACCAAAATCAACAGGTAATACGAGCTTTCTGCTTGGCACTTTACAGGCTTTTCGGAGTAGACCAGGGAAGTAAGAGATAGGAGAAAAGTGGATACTTTTGTTAAACCTCTTATTAAAAAGCTTTGTCTAAACCCTTTTCGTATTACACGTAGCTTTCACTAGTAGTATTGCAGCAGCGCCTGGAGGCTACAGCTGAGACTTCACTGTGGGCTAGACGCTGCATGTAAAAAGTCATTTTTAGGGAGATCACACAGTGTAATTAATCTAGTTAATGGTGTCTTAATTATAAATACAGCATTAATGGACAAGGCAAAGAGCAGTCTAATTTTTAAAGGTGGTTTTGTGCTTTAAATGTAGATACATGACTGGATAGAATTTTTAAAGCACTTTTGTTCCTGACTCCAGTGATTTCAAAACTCCCAGACCTTAACAGAGAAGCTGAGGTCTGAAGAAAATTGCAGTTGTTTTCATTATTTGCATTCGGTGTATGTTATTAACTGCAATTTATCTGGGTCCACACAGATTCAAAGTCAAAAGTAAACTGCAGGTTGTATGACTCTGGTGTTTGGCCCTTATTACTGCTTTTTGAAGTATTAACATACATAGTGACACCATAATGTTGTGACATTTTGTTAATTCCACATACGTTACTGCAGCTGTCTTTTGGAAAGTTATATATGCCTTGCTGTATTTAGAAAGAGAAGAGCAGGAGAGCCATGTAAATACTGAAATATCATTATTTGGTGCCTATCACATTTATTTAAATCAATTACAAGTATTTGGGGCAGGGGGTTGCTGGCTTTTTTATGGAGGATAGTAGCCAAGAGATAATCTCTCTTTTCACATTTCCTTCTTAACCTGTACAGAAATAAAGTTTTAATTTAAATTTTATTGCAGTTAGGCAGTACACTCTCTTAGGTGAAAAATGACATTTGCCAGAAGATTTTTCTCAAGAATTCCAACCTGCCCCTTAGTAGCATTAAATACCTATAGCTTCTCTGGGGATTTGCAAAAATAATCATCAGAAGGCTGCCCCTTACTTTGCTGAGTTTCAGGACAACCATCTTAAACCATGCAAATGTGAAGATGTTTCTACTCCACTGTTGGCTTAATTCTGTCAGGATGGTTATTTTTGAGTGTTAGCTGAATTTGCAAGTAATAACTTCTTTAATCATCTTCACAGATAACTCGTCTGAAGATTGATAGGAATCCATTCGCCAAAGGGTTTAGAGATTCGGGACGTAACAGGTAGGTGTTGGCATAGGAAGTGGGCTTGTTACTGCTGACAGAATTGGTTTGTGAAAGCTGGTAGAGGGGAATACCTGTATTTACAGACAAATTAGTCTGAGAACTCAGACTCTGTGAGGGAGCACTTACGTTTCCCCATGATGTTCTCTGTGGTGGGCTCCCATTCCTATTCCTCTGACTATCTAGGTCAAGAATGGGTTGGCACACAGCTTGACTCATGTACTCAGGTTTCCTTTCAGTGGAAAGGGTGGCATACCGTGAAGGCTGCAAATGGAATTAATGCATACTCAGGTCTGTGATTTCAGGCTGCTCCTGAAATCTCTTTCTCCTGGCTGGAGACACCAATTGCAAATACCAGTGTCAAATTATAAGCCCAGGCTTTCTTGCACATAAGTGGCATTTAGTACAAATGAATGGCTCGTTGTTTTTTCTTAAAGGGGGAGAAACTAAGTTGTCCCCTGCAGTAACCTTACATTTAGTACACTTGCCTAGGAGGTGGGAGACCTATGTTCAAGTGTCTCTTCAGCCTAAGGAGTTTTAAATCCACTTCCTAGGTGAATGTTTTCATACTAGGCTATAGATAACCTTGAAACGAGCCTGTTTCCACCTCTTCTGTTGCTGTTGGACTGATTAATTGCTTGTTCTCTCTTGATCCATGAATCTTTCAAAATAGCAATGGGGAATCTGAGTAGTGCAAAGTGGAGACTTGGGTCTAGTCTCTGCTGCCAGTACCGATGAGGTATTTTATCCAAAGACTGTTTAATGCAAAATACTTAAGCCTGTTACGAATTGTATGTTAAACCATTTCAGCTAAAAAAAGCAGCATTTAATTGTGGTGCATAGTATACATCAGTTCCCGTGACCACATTGCATTTGGTGTCTACAGCTGCTATATTTATGACCTAGCCTTGCAGAGAAGGGAGCAGACTGTGCTGGTAGGAATGCTCAGGAGTATCTCTTGGTAGCTGCTTTACTGAGCTTCTCTTTTAGCAGAGACTACAGCATGAAAGCCTGTTCTGTGCTTCCACCTGAGTTACATAAATGCTGAGACTGGACAGCAAATGAGAGTATTTTTTAGAAGAAGAACAGCTATAGAAGGGGTGAGGTGGTTACAAAGATTTACGTGAATTCACTTGAAGTATTTTTTCAGTTTGCATTCTACATTTGCTGGTCTAAGATTTTTGTCTTCTAGCAAGAAACAATTGGCCATGCTCTGTCCTGGGGCCTGGGAGGAATGCCCCAGGCGCGGGCATAAATAGAGTTTTGTCCTCGATAGTAGTCTTCTGGTTTGAAATTAAGTGAACAGTAACTTTCAGATAAATGCAGTGACTGAAGAAGCAAAACATGCTGTGTGCAGTTGGGGAAGAAAAAAGTTGCCATGCGTGCCCTATTTGACAGCTCTTTGTAGGCAGTGTCTCTGCTACGCATGCTTTTTGCAGAGCCATAAAATAAGTACTAAGGAGAGAAGTGTGAAACCCTGACTCCTCTGAAATTTCTGACTTTAAGTGGGGTTTGAATTTCTTCCACAACGTTCTATAAAATGAGAAAAGATGTCCTTGAAAATAGAGAGGAAAGGATCATTCAGAAACCAGTTTTGAACTGGATTTAATGTGGTGGCACAGCCCTGATATTACCTGAGGAGGATGTAGGTGCAGTAAGAGTACTCCATCTGCAACCACGCAAATCCAGTTGTAGGACTGGGGCTATCCAGAGAGGTTTTTTGGTTTGGCTGTTAGGAATAAGTTTGGTTTGGGCATTAGAAAAAAAACACCATCTTTGAACTGAAAGACAGTTGTAGATTACAGAAAGGGATTAGGAGGCTAGTCCTGTAGGAAGGGCCAGCCTCTGTAGAAATGTTTTGGAATTGGCTTTAGATGAGGTCTGAATGCTTTTACTGTAGTGTTACTTGTTACAGAATTGACTCTTCAAACTCTTGTCTGTTGAAAATTGATGTTGGTTTACAGAAGTCAGTATTGCTGTTTTCTTTGATAGGCTCTGTGGTACTGAATAAATGTGTTTGAGAATACAGCTCAGATTTTTTAATTGCCAAGGAAAATTTCCTTTTTTAATTTAAATTGCTGCTCTACTCAGTTGGTTATTATTTTGTTCTGTTGCTGAACGTTGAAATTAAATGTTAAGATTTAGTTGTCTTCATTGTTCTGGTTAGTGTACTTCTCACCTAGGCATTTTAGTCTGCAACAAAAGTGGGAGAAACCACCCAACTGTGGTACCATTATATCTGACTTTTCACTATTGTTTTAATTATTGCATCTATCTTACTATGCACTGCTGCATGCAGTAATTCTGTTTAATTAAAAATATTCCCTTTCAGGTCATTCGTGTTTGATCCCACAGGCTATTTTACACAAATCAGTAGCTTCACCTTTTAAAAGCATTCCCTGTGCATTTGCAAAGTGCAACAGAATTTATGTGCTGAGAATAGTTTCATTCTTCAGTTAGGCCTTAAGTTTGACCCTATAAAAACTTTTACTCAGGGAAGGACCAGAATTTCTCCCTTTAAATACTTCAAGAAAAACATAACTGTTTTGTTAAATAAACTTGGCCATTTGATAGCGTAAATTAGGGTGGTGATAAAATGTGGAAATTGTTCGAAGGCATCTTGTATAAATTATCGCCTTGGCTACACTCCTCCAGGAGGTGGCTTTTATCTCCACTTTAACTAGAAATGAGAATTTACCATTACTGCAGAAACTGAAGGCTATCTTTTTAGTCCAGGTTCAGCTAATAAATACTTTATAACTGTTTCCTGAAATACATTTGTGGTCCTGCTAGAAATGCAATGGGGAAGAAGCGGTATCAGAAGAACACATTGGTAGCTTCAAATTGGCCTGTTTGCATAATTTGAGTTTACAGAGTGCTGCTGCTCAAAGGCAAGCACTTGTATTTGGTGTGTGCCTGATGCTGACATTTAACAGGCCTTTGAGGCCCAGCAGCCAAAAATAACAGCAAAATTATACCTCTGAGGTGCATTATTCACAAGATTCTGTCAGAAAACAAATGAGCCTTTACCTTCAGGAAGTAGAGATTCCTCTAAATATTGTCTGCCACGACTGCCTACCTGGTTATTTCTGTTTTGTCATGGCACTGTTGAAAAGAAAATGACAGAAGACTTTTAGTTTCGAAAGGCATTTTGCTCAGCACATAATAACCAAGACACAACATTGCTTTATACGTTCTAGTAGCAAACGAACTGTACACCCATGCCTTGCTCATGTTGTAAGCTTGATTTTCCAGCTCATTGGTAATGACTGGGAATCCTGTTTTAATGTAAGTTGTGAGTGGATCACCTTTGTCCTAAGCAGAAATAGGAGATCATCCCTCTGGCAGTTAGAGTAGTTGCTGTTAAGGAAATGTTGTACTAGGAAAACATTTAATGTCATTTAGTCATTTCGTCCACTCCCCAGCCCCCAAAAAGCCAAAACTGAAATAGACTGCCAGATTTGTGGAATTGGGAAACTCTTTGCATGCCGCCAGCCCAGTGTCTGCAGATCACAGCAATCTCATGGATGAAGATGCAAGGCTCTTCTTAGAAAAGCAAAATCAACTTCAAAATAATCCTGAAAAGTCACTAATTTCTATATTTTTCTGAGGTAAAGTATCTAGAGAAATGTGACAAAATACAACTTTCTTTCATGATGCTATGTTGGTTTTGTTCTAAATAGAATGGGACTGGAAGCCCTTGTAGAGTCTTATGCCTTCTGGAGGCCTTCACTAAGGACACTTACATTTGAAGATATACCTGGGATACCCAAACAAGGTAACAGTTGTCTTTGTGTTCTTTCAAAATAAAAATGGGTGAAGATAAAGCTTCGTCCATCATTCTTTACAGAACTCCAGGGGAGTGTGTCACTTGCAGAGGAAAAGCAACGAACCAACCCCAGCGCAGGCCATCACTTCTTATCAGAGTTATTCTAAGTTAGAAAACTAATGCTAACTTAACCGCTGTGGCAGTAAAAATGTTAAATAGTAAAGACAGATCTGTGGAAGAAGATGCCAGTTAAATATTTAAGAATGGAATAACCTATTTCTTCGTGTTATATTCTGGCTAGATAGACAAGGCAGAGAACATTTGTAGATGACTTCTGTTGTACACATCCAAATTCTGATGTAGGAATTACTTGTGTGTTTAAGAGAAGAAAATGAATGAGAGAAGAAGCATCCTCTAAGTAATGAATCAGTAGTGCAACCTTAATTTGGTTTCTGCCTTGGAAAGCCTTCTTGATTCTTAAAGACCTAAAAATTGTTCATTAAAAGTCCCAACAAACTTTATCTGCATCCTAGAGCTTGAAAAAATAGACCTGCTCTCCATTTTGCTTTTTCCTGCTCCCCCAGTCCATAACCTCTTGGCTCCCACTTTCCCCATCGTACAGATAGTGCTGTGGGGGAGAGAGGGCTATTTAAATGGCCTGTTTCAAAAGAGCGGGGAGTCTCTGTACTTTTTTCTGAGTTCTTTTGTTTCCAAAGCATCCCTGGGCATATAGAAAACCTCTCCGCTGTTTTCCAACTAAACCAGACATGTTGCTCCCAATTCTTCACATTTCCTGCTTTCTTAATAATATATTTCAGAGTCATGAAGCATCTTCAGACCAAAACCCCTGAAAATATGGAAATACACAGAAAGGAATTCTATCAACTTCTCCTTAGCTCAGTTCTTTGAAAAATCTTGAGCCTCAATGCCTGATGTGTGCAATTAAAAAGGAGTTTTTGTGCCAAGTCACAGATACATTGGATGAGGGCTGGCAGAGTTTTGGGTAGAGGATGGGAGTCGGAGGTGGTCCTTATAAAAAAGGCCTGTAATGAGAAGCCAGCATCAGACCTGAAACAGTTTGTGAGACTGCGTAAAACTGAAAGGTAGTGCACTGCTGTGTTGCCCTGTTTGTATATATTGAACTGTTTGAGAGCAGCGGAACTGCTGCCATGAACTTCCCGCTTCCTTTTCTGCTGTTACCTGAGGTTAAGGAGCTTGTTGATGTTCAGAGGATGGGATCCTTGCAAAATCTTGAGTCATCTACACCTTGGACAGTACGGTAGTTTAGAGACTTGCTGAAAGACCCCATTAGAAATGTCCTGATTGATAATGCTGGAAGTGCCCATCTTCAGAGAACAGAAGTGTTGATGTAGATTGGAAGAAAAATAAGTACACCTTACACCAAGGTTTCTGGAGTGTGTCAGTGTCTCATGGTGATTTGTGCCTGTTGTGGCCTGTCAACAGAGCAAGAAGAAGCAGGCAGAGTTCGCTGACAATGTATTTTTCTTTTTACTAGCTTATCTATCATGAAAACCTGTTAACTTATTGACAATGTGTGTCTTTTGCAGCACCAAGCTGATTGTTAATGTGATTTGCAAGCAGGAGAATCTTCCTTGTTAAGTGCCTTCTGACCAGGAGACTGCAAAGGCCCAAATCAATTTTTCTTTGCTCATTTTTTGGGGACACACAATCTCTAAGAAAAGGCAACATTTCTTGCAGATGAGAAACTTTCAGCCCTGAGAAAAAGTTTCACCTGTAGCAAGCAGTGCATTTTTAGGAGCGTTCAGCACTGGTATTTGTCATGTAAAAAGTTCTGATATCGGTAAACGAACAGTTTGTGAACAGCTTTGCTGCAAACCTAAACCTCCACCTACCCATTCAAGAAATGAAGCAGCCATGCACAGTACTCAGCCTACGCTTTTCCTGAAGTTGTTCTGAAGTTTTGTTCTGAAGTTGTGAGCCTCTTGTCATCTGAGCTAAGGAGCTGGTTCCATAGCTGGTGCTCTGACAGTGATAGTCTGGCACAGAGAGCTTGAAACACACTCTGGGGTGTAGCAACATGATAGACAACATAAAATTCGTAATTTTGAAGAAGGCTTCTTGTGGTGTGGTACTTGCATGGTTACATCTTAGCTGCCATGCAGCTTGCTTCCTGTGTCAAAGAGGACTTAACCTTTTGGGCAGGAGCTCTAAGTATTGTGTGATTGTTGCAAAAACATTAGGTTCTCTTTCCTGGACAGGTTTCTTTAAAAATGAGACACACACACTTACACACACTCCCCTCGTACGTGTAAGTACAATATTTTTTGAATGAACTTGCATCATGTTTCATGTCAAAGGTTGTTATAAAAGACAAAGGTCTTGATCTGTCACCTAGGAAGTGAACATGCTTCTTACAGTGTAATATTCTCTTCCAGGAAATGCAGGTTCTTCTGCTTTACTCCAGGGATCTGGCAGTGGAGTGCCATCTACCCACCCTCACCTTTTACCGGGTTCCCCTTGCTCATCTCCAGCCTTCCACCTCAGTCCCAACACTAGCCAGCTCTGTAGCCTTGCTCCAGCTGACTACACAGCTTGTGCCCGCTCAGGCTTGACCCTGAACAGATACAGCACTTCTTTGGCTGAAACCTACAACAGGCTCACAAACCAAACCAGTGAGACGTTTGCACCCCCGAGAACTCCCTCCTATGTTGGTGTGTCGAGTAGCACAACTGTGAATATGTCTATGAGTGGCAATGATGGGGATGCATTCAGCTGCCCACAGACTGGCTTATCTATGCAGATTTCAGGGATGTCTCCACAGCTCCAGTACATCATGCCATCCCCATCCAGCAATGCCTTTACCACTAATCAAACCCACCAAGGTTCCTACAACACGTTTAGACTGCACAGTCCCTGTGCACTCTATGGATATAACTTTTCCACATCCCCTAAACTGGCTGCCAGTCCTGAGAAAATCGTTTCTTCCCAAGGAAGTTTCTTGGGGTCCTCGCCAAGTGGAACCATGACGGATCGGCAGATGTTGCCCCCCGTGGAAGGAGTGCACTTACTTAGCAGTGGGGGGCAGCAGAATTTCTTTGACTCTAGGACCCTAGGAAGCTTAACACTCTCGTCTTCTCAAGTGTCGGCACATATGGTTTGATGAAGCCTTTAAGTAAAAGTACAGTATGTTTGGTGTCTACAATGTATTTCTTTTGGAATATGAAAGGACACTCGATGTAGCTTGTAAAGTGTGTGTATATATAATATGAGAGGAAGTTTCACTGAATTTTTGATTTGCTTGCGGCCAGATTATTCTCCTATTTTGAGTTACGCAGAGTTTGTTGCGGCACAGACTGCTTTAGTTCTCTGGTATAATACACTTAGTTGTATAACACGTTGGGACATATGCAACAAATTAAGTAAGACTTCCTCCCCTTTCCCCCTCCTCTGTTCTAGCCCCTTTAAAGAATGAAATGACACTTGGAGTATTAAACAACACAAACAAGCCCACTTACATTTCCTTGAGTTTCTTTAAAACATTCATACAATGATAAGCTGATGCACCAAAGGCATTTTACAAGTTTCTTCTCTGTTACAAGGGATATGAAGGGTATTTGGACTTCTAAGTGTGAAGCATCAAGCATCCAGCCTAAAATAGAAGTTTAGCTAATGGATTATTTACAAAGTAAATGGAAAGATTTGTTTGCCTTTTCACGATACGCTCTTTTTAGCTTATCAACGGCACAGCATTCTTACTAGGATTTTTTTTCAGCATTAGTCTAGATTTATGATTAGGTATTTGAAGATAAATAATGCATATTCAAATTGTGGTGATAGGAGTAATTCAAACCAACAGCAGAAAAAG